CGGTTTGCGTGTTTTGGTGGCCAGACTCGTGGGCACGGATCCTTTGCAGGATGCCACATGAGGCTCCAGCAGGCTCCAGGAGGCTCCAGGAGGCAACAAGAGGTCCCAGGAGGCATCAGGAGGCCACAGGGCCACAGGATGCTCCAAGAGGCTTCAGGAGACCCCAAGAAGCTCCAGAAGGCTTCAGGAGGTTCCAGGATGCTCCAGGAGGCCACAGGAGGCAACAGGAGGCCCTAGGAGGCGACAGGAAGCGCCAGGAGGCGCAAGGAGGCCCCGGAAGGCACCAGGAGGCCCCAAGAGGCCCCAGGAGCAGGAGGCTTCAGAAGGCCACAGGAGTGGCTCCAATCCCATGTGTTGTACGTATGCTCCTACAGATTGGCCTCCCCTGGAGCACGAACCCTTTGTGTTTTACGTATGGTTATATTGATTGTCCTTATCCTGAGTATCCAACCCTCAGTGTTTTACGTATGTTCCTATATATATATATACACATGTATTGGGCCTCCCCTGGGGCACGAGTCCTTAGTGTTTTACGTGGGTTTCTATAGATTGCCCTTCTCTTGTGGCTCCAATCCGCAGTGTTTTATGCACGTCTGTTCCTATAGATTGGGCCTCTCCTTGTGCACGAATCCTCCCCAAGGTGGCTCCAGGAGGCTCCAGGAAGCCCCAGGAGACCATACGAGGCCCCAGGAGGCCCCAGGAGGCCACAGGAAGCCCCAAGTGGCCTCAGGAGGCCCCAAGAGGCTCCAGGAGGCCCCAGGAAGCCCCAGGAGGTTTCAGAAGGCCCTAGGAGGCCCTGGACTCATGTGCAGAGACGTGCTCGTACTACCGAGACTCATTCACACTCCAACTCATTTACACTTAGATTCACTCCGAGACCGTCAATACTCAAGCCCGCTGATATTCGAATACTCTTGCGCCTAGGCGCGCGCGGACGACCTGGCCATGCTAATAGAAGCACATATGGGGAGCTCCACGCAGTGAATGATTATTTATCTGACCGCGTCGACTCCTTTTCATTTCTTCTTTTCTTCATGTTATGTTGTGGTATGTTATGTTATGATATGTAATGACCTGCGATATTCTGTTATGCTAGCCATGATAGGTAATTATGTGTTCTGATATGTGATGATATGCTTTGCTATGTTATTTGTTTGTTGTCTTTGTATGTCTTGTTACGGTATGTTATGATATTATATACGGTGCCAGGTCATGCTATGATATGTTATTACATGCAATGTAATAATATAGTGTGTTGTGTTGTGGCATGTTGTTGTACTATGATATTGTATATCACGTTATGATATGATCGGATGACGATGGTGGTGCTGGTGATGGTGTTTGTGGTGTTGATGACGATGATGAGGAGGATGGGGATGAGGGTTATTCTTTTGATGATGAGGAGGATGAGTATGAGGATGATGATGAGGATAATGATGATAATGGTGATGCTGATGATGATGTTGATGATGATGCTGACCATGATGATGATGATGATGATGATGATGATGATGATGATGATGATGATGAGGAGGAGGAGGAGGAGGAGGGGAGGAGGAGGGGAAGGAGGAGGATGAGGGGAAGGAGGAGGAGGAGGGGGATGCTGATGCTGCTGATGATGACGATGATGATGATGACGATGATGATGATGATGATGATGATGATGATGATGATGATGATGATGATGATGATGATGATGATGATGATGATGATGATGATGATGATGATGATGATGATAGTAATGCTGATGCTGATGCTGATGATGATGCTGCTGATGATGATGTGATGATGATGATGATGATGGTGGTGGTGGTGGTGATGATGATGATGATGATGATCATGATCATGATGATGATGATGATGATGATGATGATGATGATGATGATGATGATGATGATGATGATGATGATGATGATGATGATGATGATGATGATCATAAGGTTGTTGATGATGATGCTGGCAGAGCAAGTTTTGAGGATGCCTCGAGCGAGGCGCGGGTTGCAGCACCCCCACGGGGGAGCCGCCAGGGGGTATTGCACTCCTCCGTTCGCGCCCAAATTGCGGGGATGTCTCGAGCGGTTTCCCTGTTTTGGTGGCCAGACTCGTGGGCACGGTTCCTCCCCAGGATGCCACAGGAGGTTTCAGCAGGCTCCAGGAGGCCCAGGAGGCAACAGGAGGTCACAGGAGGCATCAGGAGGCCAGAGGAAGATTCGAGAGGCCACAGGATGCCCTAAGAGGCGCCAGGAGGCTCCAGGACGCTCCAGAAGGCCGCAGGAGGCTCCAGGATGCTCCAGGAGGCCACAGGAAGCCACAGGAGGCCCCAGGAGGCCACAGGACGCGCCATGAGGCACCAGGAGGCCCCGGAGGCACCCGGAGACCCCAGGAGCAGGAGGCCTCAGAACAGGAGTGGGTCCAATCCCATGTGCTGTACGTATGATCCTATAGAGTGGACCTCCCCCGAAGCACGAGTCCTTGATGTTTTACATGTGTTTCTATAGTTTGTCCTTGTCCTGCGTATCCAACCCTAAGTGTTGAACATCTGTTCCTATAGATTGGGCCTCCCCTGGGGCACGAATCCTTGGTGTTTTACGTGTGTTCCTATAGATTGCCCTTCTCCTGTGGCTCCAATCCGCAGTGTTTCTGTACGTCTGTTCTTATAGATTGGGCCTCTCCTGGGGCACGAATCGTCCCTAGGATGCCCCAGGAGACCCCAGGAGGCCACGCGAGGCCCCAAGATTTCAGGAGGCCCCAGGAGGCCCCAGGCTCATGCGCAGAGACGCGCTCGTACTACTGAGACTCATTCACACTCCAGCTCATTCACAGTTAGATTCACTCCCAGACCGTCAATACTCAAGCCCGTGAATATTCGAAAACTCTTGCACCTAGACGCTCACGGCGAACAGGTCCATGCTAATGGATGCACATACGGGGAGCTCCACGCAGTGAATAATTGTTGTTGCTGTCGCTGTTGCTGTTGCTGTTGCTGTTGCTGTTGCTGCTGTTGTTGTTGTTTCCCTCTGTTGTTGTTGTTGTTGTTGTTGTTGTTGTTGAACATTATTTATTCTAAAGAATAATTATTGTTGGGCCCCCTGGTGCACGCCCCCCCTGCGCCGCCTAGGCCGCAGCTACATTTTCATCATTTTCGTGAGGAAGCCTCAGGTAAAACGATGTGATCCAGATCCGGTTGTTTTGTTGTAATCCGTTTTCCCTTGCAAAAAACACTATAAAATGACATTTCTTGTTCTAATATAATCAAATTTCAAGAATCCCTTGCAAAAAATAAGGTAAAGTGGACATTCGCGCGCGCAAGACGAAATCCTTCCAAAAGCTTAGTGTTCGGAGCGATTTTAACATAAAAACATCAAAAAACCAATGGTTTTTCAACAAAAAAATGTCAAAATCTCATCCCGCGCGCTCTTGCGGATTCGTAGGAAACCCAACACTTTTTAAACATTTCTGTCAAACGGGCTTTTGCGAGCAACTTTTTCGAACTTCTGCGACAACGGTTGCGCACCTGCCAGGGCCATCATCCCTGTCAAATAATACCATGCGGGACACATTCGTTTTTTCTTCGCGCGCGCACGCCGAAATCTCCACATCCCTCAGGAATTTGCCCTAAAGATGTGATCAACTATCTTGTGAGTACGTATCATGTGTATCATGTGTATCATGTACCATATGCATCATATGCAACAGATGTTCTGTGGAAGGCTTAACAACTTCTGTGGGTTAACAAGGCTTAACAACTTCTGTGGGTGTACGAACGTAGGCTTAACAACTTCTGTGGGTGTGTACTCCACGCCAGTGTAGTAGCCACGGTCGTCCGCAGGCCACGAAGTGAAGTGTCCGAACGTCATAGGGCGGGAAGCTGGGTGTGGGTGGTGGCGAAGAGTCGTGTGGATATTTGGTAGAGCTTGCACTGCCCCCCCACAAAGTGGGGGTATTGGCTGGCGTCGCATGAAAACCCTGGCACTGGTGAGAACACTGAGCGTTCGGGTAAAGTGATTGTTGTTGTTATTGTTGTTGTTGGTGATGACGACGATGATGAGGATGACGAGGATGATGGCGAGGAGGAGGAGGAGGAGGTGGAGGAGGAGGTGGAGGAGAACGAACACGACTAGGTCCAGGAGCAGGACGGTACATGAAAGGGCGGAGGAGGATGAGAGAAATGTGCTAAGTATGCACACGGGCGGAAGGGGGAGGGGCAGAGAGCGAGGAAAAGGGAGAGCAAGGCGAAAAGGGAGGAGCAGGGAGCACGAGGAGAAGGAGAGGGAGAATCAGGAGGACGAGGATCAGGAACAGGTGGCGGAGGCGATCGATGATAAGAATCTGGACGACGAGCGGGTGGATCGCCTGTCCAGGCGCGCCCCTCGGAGCGAGAGGAGTTCAAGCTTGGCTGCATTGCCACCGCGTGGACGTGGTCTTCTGCTCGGTTGTGCGCTGTTCCGCGCATCTGCGAATCTGAGTGGAGTCAGGTGCACGGCGCGCAGCGCCCGCCCTCTCTTGCATGTGGTACCAAGTATGTGCACGTGCGTATACACTTGTTGTGACTACCCGTTTTGCTTGAATTTTTACCCATCAGCCAATGCTGATGTAAGTGCTGCGGCGCCGCTGCCCCGACGCGGACTGCGTATGTGAGAGAACCGCGCTTTCACTTGGCACCGTCACATTCGACGTCTGACAACTCAACATCTGATTGTATGAACCAGCTCCAGAGCAGTCTCGGACCGCCCCCGAGCGCCATGGAGCGGCCGCGGCGACTGGCCCAATCCTCCAGGCCCGCCAGCTCTCAGAGGTCCCCGACGATGATAAATCCCTCCAGACCGTTCCAGGACACTCTCTGAGCGTTCCAGAACGCTCTGGAACGGCTGCGGCGCTACATCCTTCCGACCCGCCGGTTCTCAGAGATCCCCGACCGAATTCATCCTCGTTTTGTTTTTGTCTTATGCCCCCTTTTCGGCTTCCCCCGGAGAGGGAGGGTGATGGCCCCGACGCGCAAGGCCAACTACTGAGCTGCCGGCCAGGGTGTGAAGTGCTCCCGTGGTGGCGATGTGGTGATTCTCTTAGTCCTTACGGAGCCGCCGCCGAGCAGCACTACGAGCAGGATGACGACAGTGCGACGATGACGACAGGGTGACGACGATGGTGGTGATGAGCGAAGCTGCTTCCGCTGCTCCTGCCAGAAAAAAGGAGGAGGAGGACGAGGAGGAGGAGGAGGAGGAGAGGAACTGGAGGGAGAAGGAAAGGTAAGAGGAGACTGACGCCGAAAGTGAGTGGGAGGAGGAGGAGGAGGAGGAGGAACGAGGAGGAGGAGAAGGAGGAGGAGTAGAGACGATAATTAATTAGAAGCAGGAGGAGGAGGAGTAGAGACGTTCATCCATGGTGATGGTGATGATGATGATGATGATGATGATGATGCTGATGATTTTGATGCTGATGCTGATGATGATGATACTGAGGATGGTCACGATGATACTGATGATGATCATGATCATGATGCTGGTGCTGATGCACCTGATGCTGATGATGAGATGATGGTGATGATGATGATCATGATGATGATGTTGATGATGATGCTGCTGATGATGATGACGATGATGGTGACGATGTTGGTGATGCTGCTGCTGATGCTGATGCTGATGCTGATGCTGATGATGATGACGATGATGATGATGATTATGATGATGATGATACTGATGATGATGATGCTGATGATGATGCTGCTGATGATGATAATGATGATGATGATGCTGATGATGATGATGATGATGATGATGATGATGCTGCTGATGATGATGATGATGATGGTGATGGTGATGGTGATGGTGATGATGATGATGATGATGATGGTGATGGTGATGGTGATGGTGATGATGATGATGATGATTCTGATGATGATGATGATGATGATGATGATGATGCTTATGCTGATGCTGATGCTGATGATGATGATGATGATGGTGATGATGGTGGTGATGGTGATGGTGATGGTGATGGTGATGATGATGATGATGATGATGCTGATGATGCTGATGATGCTGATGATGCTGAGGATGCTTAGGATGATGATGCTGATGATGCTGATGATGCTGATGATGCTGACGATGCTGATGATGCTGATGATGCTGATGATGCTGATGATGCTGATGATGCTGATGATGCTGCTGATGATGATGATGATGAGGATGATGATGATGATGATGATGATGATGATGATGATGATGATGATGATGATGATGATGATGATGATGACCGATGATGATGG